GGGATTTCTAATCGTTCCGCGACTGTCACTATGGGCTATTCGGAATCACGATATGATAATATCATATCATAATGATATGTTTTTGATATATTTGTTGGCTTTCGCCCTCGACCGTAATGCTATCGACAGCAAAGAACCATCTTTTTGTCTTCAGCGGCCCTGAAGTGAAGTTAGGAATGGTTGATGGAGTTTTATTATAGAGCTTATCAATGAAGTTTAAGATTGAGCTCGTAGTCCCTGCTGATTCTAGAGAACGCTCTGCATAGACCGGAAACACGATACAATAACACTGTTGGGGGGGATTTTTTCGCTTTCCCCCTTAGCTGAGCTCAGGAGTTTACTCACTAATTACAGGTGTTTATATACAAACTTCAGGGTAGAAGTGTGCAGTAATCACCGACAGCTTTCTTCGACATTGTTGTGACGGACACATGTATTTTCCTACAGCGGGTAACGGTTGCGAGAATTTTGTTCCGAAGAAAAAATAATCGTACATTGGAGTTTCACTCTAGCGGTATGAAAAACACTAGTGAAAAATATATTTCACGACTACTGCATATCACCGCGAATATCGCGTTTTTCACCGACTTTCACGCCACTCCACGTGAAACGGGTGAAACTTCATTGATTGCATCCTAAAGAACAACTAGTACGTGAAACTGCAATTGCTCTTTTGCAGTAACAAGGATAAGTTGAGGATACAGAATCAGTGGCGAAGGCTATCGAGACGCTGAATGATACTAAGTTGGGGGAGAGGCAGACTTTCGTTAGGGGGAATCGTGGCCCGGAGAAACCGAGAGATTCTGGTACCGCCAAGATCGACTCCATCCAAGGAGTATGGTCGCTGTTGTTAGACTCTCCTCGTGGTGGCAAGGGTAAGGGTAAAGGAAAAGGGAAGGGCTAAGGGAAGGGGTATTGGGATTGGGGATACCGTAGGTTGTGGGTAATTCGGATACCCTCTTACACATGCTTGTCCTCAGCTGGTAAGGGTAAGGGTTTTAAAGGCTATAAAGGCAAGGGTGGCCTCAGACCACTTCGTGTTGGCCCTCGTGATAAAGGGAGGCTCATCTACGTTGGCAACGTACAACAGATTACCATGGTATGGCTCCTAGTAGTACCCTACTACTCAGTTACCTTGGAGGACAGCCTGGCAAGATCTTAAACTTTAAGACTTAAAGATCTTTTCCGTGAATGCGGTGAAGTTATACGTGTCGATATCGCCGAAGGTTGGGACGGCCGTTCTAGAGGCTTCGCCACTGTTCTCTTCGAGGAGATCGACAACGCTGCCAATGCTATCGGTAATAACAGACTCTCTCTAGCTCCGATCCCCCAGTCCTCTCATTTTTGAGAGAAATTCAACGAGTACGAGTTCCAAGGGCGTAAACTACTTGTTCGTGAAGACCAGTTTGTATGAAGGCAAATTATCAGGTCTGTGTCAACCTAGCTTCAATACCCTTGTGGAATCATCGAAACGTAGCATTTTCCGGATGCGGCCAGAAGGGTATGAAACTACGGATTTGACTGACGAAGCCCTCATTACCGCTCAATGACTCGTTTAAAAGTTTACTAGACTTCACAGCATTCCTTGAAGTAATATTGTTGTCAATGGAAGGGGTATATGGAGAATTGGCTCAGCGCCGCAGCTAGCCGTATTAGCTTTTACTCTCTTTCTTTTTATTGCGGTTAAGGGCACCGATGTAGCAAGTAAGGAACCCACATTCGCGTATAGGGGCATCATTTTAGTAGTGATGGTCAAACTCGGACATCAATTCATAAAATGCACATCTACCAAACGCTCGGATCTCGTGAACCGTGGGAAGAGGGTGAGAGAAGCCGAGAGGTGATAGTAATGCACCAAGCACTAGACCTTAAACCTCTAAACCCGCAGCCCGAACACTGCAGTCGGGATTTATCGCGGGTCTGGCTTAGAATCCAAGCCCTGAACGCTGATATGAGTCGATAACCGACCCTTTTTCTGGTTGCAC